CCGCCTTACACTCACTGAACTTCCGATCTTTGTCCCCTGGGGTATAAAAGCACTCCTCCCCATCGCCGGGGTCGCCACTTTCGACCTACTTATTCTAACCTGCTTATTCTATGTATTACTACTCCTATTCTGGGGAGCTTCGGCTCCCCAGAGCCTCACCTACTTTTTATACCTTATCCTTTACTTTATTATGTATAATAAGCATGTATATAGGGTGCGACGTGTTACGCATACATGCACACACACACCATACAAACGGGACACACACTAGTCCAATAAAACAACTATTAGGGTTGCGATACTTGGGATGTGTTCGCAGTTCGTGTTTGCGCAGCTCATAGTGATATACCCTGTCTATTCCTGTTAATTTTTGTCGGTCACAGAGATAAATTCCAAGTTTGCCTGGTGATGAGCTTGCAGTTCTGACGTTCGTTTCGTTTCCTGAAGGGATTATCAGCTGAACAGTTTTCCTAACAAAAGCGCCTGGAAGGCTAAGCACTTTTTTTAGAGAAGGAGAGAGCTAGGTGCGCACTGAGCATCATCACCTGACCAGCGTGAGGTACCTTCTATCCTCCAGAACGTAAGGTTTCCAGGTGTAGAATGCTGAAATCTTAAGCGGATGTTCCCCGTCCACGTAGGTGTTAATGCACTGAAATCCATCCCCCGGTAAGCGTGGTACCCGTACAGCACAGGCGTAAGATCCTTCGCTAATTATATGTTTTGTTATAGTGAGAAAGCCCTACGAGAGACGGAGGAAAAAGGTTTGGAAGAGGCACTGGAATGGATAGTTGCGTATCAAGAAAAGGAAGCTGCGAATGCGCCCGATCATCCGGACGAAAAGTCGAGGTCGATTGTGGAATTTGCCGAGGAAGAACCGCAACCGCAGAAATCATCGACCACGGAAACGCCGCAGGCAATGTCCTTTAAATGCGATGTGTAAGCTTTATTTAATTGGAAAATACCCACAGAATTTAGAGGAAATAAACGAGGTAATCTCCTTGCTTGTATGGTACCTCATTTGTCTGGGAATAGTGCTCAATGCACACCGAGGGCATCTCGCGAAATGGTTAAAGCCTTGCGAAGTTGTATCGGAAAACTGTTGATCTGGCAGCCACTTTAGGAGAGGAAATAGAAATAAGGATCGCTGACTGGCTGCTGTTTTGTCGTCTTCAAAACGGCTGAAAAAGTTATCAGTTCCGTAATTGGTTAACCGATCTAAGTAGTCCAGATAGGGTCGAGAAAGCCCACAGAAGGCTCGATCAGCTGCTGTTGCAATCGCACTTTTGTTCCACTAATACAGCAGACAGCCTTTGGACGCTTGCTTTTTGTCTGTGCTTCAGCATGCTTGTTATCCTTCGTTGAATTTCCTGCTTTTTTTTACGAACCAAATCTCCGGGTAAAATTGGCAGAATTTGTCGGAAATTATTTTTGGTGTTAAGCAACGATGTGCTTGTGTTGAATAATCGAGATATTTTAGTATTTGCAAACCTTCTCGAGAATGACGATTCCGTAACTCACACTGCAGATGTGGCAAGCTTCTAGCTAACGACCAAGCAGTGATGTTTCATGCAGCGGTGTCAAAACACGATGCGTTCAGTGAATCGTCGGAAGCTGTGAAACCGTTATCAGAAGAGGAGAAAAAAGAAAGATTGGCGACTCTGCAGGCAAAGCTCAAGGAAGCAAGGGCGAAAAAAGAGGAAGAAGAAAGAAGGGAGGCATTGGAAAAGGTTCCAATCTCATTCCGTTTGCCCTACAATTTAAGATCCTAGGATAGGGAGACAATGAGGTATGGCAACATCTCAGGGTTAGAATTAGAGAATAGCTGCAACGTGAAACAGTGTAACTCCACTTCTGTTCAAGCTGCACGAATCTGCTTATTAACAACAGTAGCTCGGTGATACTAGCCAAAACATACTGATAGTCCGAATAACTAGCCATTTTATTACGGATCATTTTACTTTTTATGTTTACAGCTCAGGGATGAAACACCGGTTGCATCCAAAAAAGTCTTCGTGCACATTACACTTAGACCTATTTTATTATTTTTTTTTTTGAGTTATCATTTGAGATGGCGCCACTCATTAGTTACAGGAAAAGCGACGTCGTTTAGACGGGAAAACGATGGCAAAAATAGAAGAGGAAAAGAGGGCTTTGGAAATGAAGAAAATGGTGGAAGCAAAAAGACGCGAGAAGCTCGAAGTACGTTTAAAATTGCGCAACTCATAACAATGATACTGAACAGTAGACTTGGAAATTCATTGCTTTCTTTGATATCTTGATCAACTACTCTCATTTGCATCGTTGCAAACCTCGCCACTTTTACGCGGCCGGAATTTTCCCATGGTTGCTGTTATAGAAGTTAATTTTTTATGCGTTTTCTGCTGTGTAACAGCAGTACAAAACGCATATTGTCACGGGGTTGTGTGTGTGTGTGTGTGTGTGTGTGTCCGCAGCAACTTGTCCGGGAACCACAAAAGCTAGGAAGCTGAAAATTTAGAGTAACGTTCCTCACCCACGTGTGACCCCGCAAATTTAAATTCAGCTTTCCCGTACCCGCGGGTAACGC